TTTCAAAGCTTGGCTTCCCACTACCAGTTTGCCTCCCCAAAGAGTAATTCTACTTGAGTCAAATTTGTGTTCCAATATCTTAAAAATACCTGCCATTTGTGGAGGTCTTCTAAAATCAAAGTGTTCTCCTTCACTGGCACCCCTTCACTTCATAAAATATTTCTCTCATTATATTTATCCCATACCTAGCAGGGGAGACAGCGGGCACACACAATCATTGTTTGTTGAATGAATGAATTCATAAAAGCTTATGTGAGAGGCACTTTGAGCATCTGACTTCTCCTAACCAACTAATGTTCTCCCACTCACCTTACTGTAGAGTGTGCATATGTGTTCTGGACGACCTATTTCACAGATACATTGATACTTGATAGAAATGAAAAAGGAAAAACGCCCATTAAGTGTTTTGATTTCATCCCTCCCTGATCGTTGAGTTGAAAAAGTATGTCATTCATACTTGACGAGAAGTCTAGGTTTTGCTTCATATTAAATGTTCAACTTTAATAAAAGTCCTTAATGCTGATATTAGACACCAGGCCATTGATTGTCACGTTGTATCTGTTTATACAAAGAGTGCACACAGTCTGTATATATGTGCTTAGTTGCTCTCTATCCCATGGCTCAGATCTCAAGCCCAGTGGAAGTCTTGATGTCTGAGATTATTCATCACCTTATCATTAAAGAAATCAGGGCTTGTCCAGGGATCTCACAGTGGGAACAAGGTGGTTTTTCCCCCTCTGATTAGCGGTGTAGCTCAAGTATAAAAGAACTACAGCTTAAAAGTCATGGGGGGGGGGGGGGGGGNGGGGGGGGGGGGAGATGAGCCCCTAGCTCTCCCGCAAGCACAAGCTGCCAGTTGAAGGTAGAAGTCAGGGTGATCCCAGCTCAGTGATCCCAGAGGCGAGAGAACCCAAGATTTTATTCCTACAGACACTGACCCGAGAGAAGACCACCAGGAGTGCCCTGGAGAAAGCCGCTGGCCGGGCAGCTTTGGGCTAACTCCTGGGTACTACTTGAAGCCAGAATCACAGCCTTTCTGTGGTTTTCAGAACTGGTGGAATTTGTATTTTAAGACGCCTCATCCCTTGGCATGAAGCAAACTCAGAAATGTTATTGCCCATCATTTATCATCTGTTTGAGAACGATTGTATGATTTGTTTACTTGTAATGAAGCTTGACCATACTTCTCCAGGGGCTTTTTAAAAAGAGGGATGTGTCAGCTTGCAGATCTGTCCCCGTGAATGAAACCGCAAGCAAATTCTCTTCTCTCCCGCCCTCCCTCTCATTTCTTCAGTGACCATCTGTGCGTTATGTTACCATTGCCAGACCCTCTTCAAGTGGCTTATCTGTGAGTGAATTCAGAAACTTCAAATTATAAAGGACACCCAGATAATTGGCCTGTTCTCCAAAGTATCCGTCCCCTGTGCTGCTGCCAGATTCTTTCTTACTGAATACATCCAGTGACAGGAGGTTCTTGAGCTTGTCCTGATCCGTGAGAAAATGAGCTCCCCTGCTTTTGTAACAGCTTGTGGCTCCGGGAGGAAAAAAATGACAGCCATTGCACAAAGTTTCCTTTGAATGTAGTTTTCTTTCCCATAAATGATACTTTGAGAATACACTTAAGGGGTTATTAGTTTTCTATTTCATGCTTGGCCTGTGTGTGAGAATAACACAAGCTGTCGCTGCAAATCAGGAGCTAAACACGCTTTGTCTGGTTAATGCGAGCATTTAATATTTGGCTCAATTAAAAATTAACTGATGAAAGTACATGGCAAATGGAAATTGAAAATACCTTTGTAAGGAATCTTGAAAGGGCATGACCAGTGAGGAAATTAGTGGTTTTAAAATGTGGAGGCTTTTGGGGGCGCCTGGGTGGCTCTGTCGGTTAAGCGTCCGACTTCGGCTCAGGTCATGATCTCACAGTTCGTGGGTTCGATCCCCGTGTCGGGCCCTGTGCTGACAGCTCAGAGCCTGGAGCCTGCTTCGGATTCTGTGTCTCCCTCTCTCTCTGTCCTCTCTCTCTCTCTCTCTCTCAGAAACAGGTAGATGATCTTTTTCTTTTAAAAAATGTGGAGACTTTGGGGAAATTTAATATGAGCTGAGACATTTGACTCTTCCTTCAAACCTCTTTACCTGGTTGGCTCGGCATGATACTGAAGAATGTCCTCATTTTTATTATGAAGGACCCAATTGCATCTCTGTGTTTTCTAGGGAATAACTGTGGTACTTTGTTTTGTGCTGGATCATACAATTAAAGCAGACAGAATAGGAGAACAGTTATTCATTTGTCCCACACATTTTTTTTTTTTTAATTGAGCACATGCTGTAGGCCAGACCCTGGGGATGTAGGAGGTGGGAAGCAGATAGACATGGCTCACAGTCTGCGGGGTGGAGATCATTACGCAGCAAGCGGAGGGGAGCCTGGATAGAGCGAGGAGAGAAGAAATGCAGTCACAGTAAGGGCATTTATTAGCATCAAGAAAGCCTTCCCAGGAAAGGGGGCTGAGGCGTGAAGGATGAGTTAGAAGTAACCTAGAGACGTGGGAAGGAGGAGCCACGTGTGACCGGCAGACAGAACGGGTAGAACAAAGGCCAGAGGCACTAGAGCATGTGGTGAGCCCCGGGAGCCGATGAGTCCAGCCTGGCTGGGAGAGGGGAGCGAGGGGGCAGATCAGAAAGGCGACGCCGCGGGAGATGTGCCGCCGTGGAGAGGTTTATTCTAGAAAGATCCTACCATTAATGAGACTGGGGAGAAAGTAGAGACAGGGAGGAGGCTAGCTCAGTAAATGAGCAAGAGACCGTGTGCCTGACCTAGAGGGACAGTAGTGGGGACAGCAAGAAATTGGGAGCGTTGAGCAATGGTTAGGACTAGAATGGAGAGGGTTTCAGGAAGATGTCGTGATGCACTGAACGCTTCAGAACTTGGTTCATTTCTTCTTCAGTGACAGTGCTGTTTTTCCATAAATCATTTCAAAAAGAATATGGGCCTTTTTGTAATCTCATATCTATATATCTGCATATACATAGATATCTTATTATTTCCCATTCTTTTAAATGAACCCTGCCTGGTTGAGAATTTTCTTTTGTTAGAATTCACATGGTAATACGTCTTCATTAACAGCCAACAGAAGTGTGTTTGAGGAAGGAATTCAATTATGCAAGGCAGTTTTCATAGAAATTTCCTCCATGTGAAAAAATTTGCAACAATGGGACCTCACCTCGACGGAGGATTGTGAAGTTTGCAGAGGAGCTCGGTGTCTGGTCTTCATGACAACCCCAGGCCAGGCAGTGATTATTCGCCCTCTTCTCTTCTGCCTTGCTCTTCCCACACCCTTTTTGTCCCATGTTTATTCCCGTATGAAGAGAGAACTGCCCGAGACAGCTATGCGATGCCCAGCAGGTGCCAAGGAACTGGTGTTTGTTCCCCGACTCGGAGTCCAGCGAAGGTCTCTTTACCCTGGGGCTCCTTCCCAGTCTGTGTCTTCACAAGGACACCAGATTCCTCAATAGAAACTTAACCAAGTAGGTCTAATTTTGAAAAATCGTATCCCCTGCTGCTTTCCATCTCAAAAAACTCTCAGGACAATTAAAATATAGTCTTTTACGTTATTTTCCGTCCTTTGATTTAGCTGGTGAAGGGTGTTTCATGTTGATGGAGGGGGGCATTTAACCTCTTGCCGTTGGATGCCCACACATTTGATCCAGACCCCGCGGGTGTGCTTGAGAGCTGAGTGGGCTTGAGCGTGTAAATCCTCGAAGGAGATGGTGGTGGGAGGGACGGGAGAGTTCTCTCAACTCACCCAGGGTTCTGGGAGACAGCAGGGCAGGTGGCATTATATGAAGGTGAATGTTCATTTTGCTTGGCATCTAATTAGCAATCCACGCTTTTAATTACTTTTTTAAAAATATAGTTTATTGTCAAGTTGGTTTCCATATAACACCCAGAGCTCATCCCAACAAGTGCCCTCCTCCATGCCTCTTCTCCTTAGATAAGCCACAGAAACTTGGTAAGGGAGGCACTTACTGAATTTAAAACATGGTGGAGAGTTCATCAGAAAGATTCCCATAGTGTCTAAAAGGCATGTGGCTGTGTTCGTTAACCTCATTTATTCAACAAATATTTAGAAGAACACTGAGGCTCAAAGAAAGCGTGGCAGTCAAGAGTGGTCTCTTAGACCTCTCATGAATCCAACATGGTAGGATTGGAATAGCGAAGAGGCAAATGATTAACAATATAAGGGCTACAATGTAACAGAAATGGGACAAAATGGTATAGTGGTGTCTATGGGGCTTACTGAGTCTTAGATGACTTCTGAGGGTCTTCTAGTCTTACTGCAAAGTATACAGAGGAGATCAAATGGCTTTTATTTTTATTTTAATTTAAGAAGTTTTTATTTTACTTATATTATTTATTTTTTATTATAGTTTATTGTCAAGTTGGTTTCCATATAAAACCCAGTGCTCATCACAGTGCCCTCCTCCATGCCCATCACCCATTTTCCCCTGTCCCTCACCCCCGATCAACTTTCAGTTCTCCGCTTCTCAGAGTCTTTTATGGTTTGCCTCCCTTCCTCTCCTTAACTATTTTTTCCCCTTCCCCTCCTCTATGGTCCTCTGTTAAGTTTCTCCTGTTCCACATATGAGTGAAGACATGTGGTATCTGTCCTTCTCTGCCTGACTTATTTTGCTCAGCATAACACCCTCGAGTTCCATCCACGTTGCTACACAGGCCAGATTTCATTCTTTCTCATTGCCATGTAGTATTCCATGGTATAGATGAGCCACATCTTCTTGATCCATTCATCCGTTGTGGACACTTAGGCTCTTTCCGAGTTTTGGCTATTGTTGAGAGTGCTGCTATGAACATTGGGTACGTGTGCCCCTCTGCATCAGCACTCCTGTATCCTTTGGGTAAATTCCTAGCAGTGCTATTGCTGGGTCATAGGGGAGTTCTATTGTTAATTTTTTGAGGAACCTCCATGCTGTTTTCCAGAGCGGCTGCAGCAGTTTACATTCCCAGCAGTAGTGTAAGAGGGTGAAATGGCTTTTGTTTTTAAAGTTAACAGCTGCAAACATAATGTTCTCCCTTAAAATTCATGTATATATTACTGTAATACAGCCTGTATATAAGTTTAAGATGGGTTACCATATACAATGTATAACTAAAGACGATTTCCATTTTTGGCTAGAATGTTTGGACCATTTTTTCCCCTTACCCCTACTGATATTTTCATTTTCCCCATTTCCATTTATAATCCCATTGGTCCCAGTTACTGAAAGTCAGGAGGAAGGATGGAAATTAGTGAACCCTAACATGTGCCAGACTCTGAGCTTAATGCTTCTGTGGATAGGAGGTGATTGAACCCTCATAACTTCTTCTCAGGGTAGGAAGTGGAATTATAGATTGAGGGATCAAAGTTTCTGCAAAATCAAGGAATTTTGCCTAGGAAGAGGCAAAACCAGATTCTTCTTTAGGCACTTCAAGTGGTAATGGATGTCCTCAAAACTTAAAAAAAATGTTTTAGATGTAAAACAGAACCCTAGTAAAAAGTAACAATTTGATGCATGTGACTTTTAGGTTCTTTTGTGTTTCCTTAGGAAGCCAATTAGTCGTCTCTCTTTTAGTAACTAGGAGGTGAAATCTTTCATAAAGGATTCCTTTAAAAGTTCTTTCTTAGCTGAAAAAAAAAAAGAGAAACATTTTGTTTCTGTCTCTCTTCTCTGGTCCCAACAGTGTGTGTAAATAGCCTTTGAAAAGTAAGTAGTGATCGCTGTTTTGTACCAACACCAGACACCTGATTCAGAAGCCATCCCAGGGGTCAGCGTGCCTTTGTTGGAATGACAAATCCACAGTGCTCTCCGGGTTCAAGAGAAATGACCTCACTGTCCAATTGTAACCTGCCTGATGCCTTAATCAAAAGGTGGGAAAAGTCTGCGGTTTCACCTCCGGTGTGATCCTCAGCCCTTCGCTGTCTTATTTTAGGCATGACCTTAGTGTTTTTTCCAGAGTCCAGAGGTGAAATGACAGGTTACTCAAGCCTACAAGATGATGATGTATCTCTTTTTTATATTTAGCTGTAAATTTTATTCTCCTTATAAACAAACCCACTTTCAGCCGCCACCGTGCATCAAGGGAGAGTTATTTCCATCCCCGTGGTTTAATTTGGATACATTTGACCTAGAACAGCACAATGTTTCCACAATAACATTTGAACAGGATGCCGCTGTGCTGGTTTACGGGGCTCAGGGAGTGTCAGCCATGGGCCAGGAAACTACTTTCTTAAAAGAAACTTAAACACTGAGTTCTGACAAGATAGAAAACTCTTATGAGGCTCCTTAGTAAACCACTTTTTTTCCCTGTTTTCTCATTAATTTGTATATCTCTCGGTGTTATTAAACAATATAGGTTGAATATTTAACTCAAGTTCATGTGCCAAATAAGTCAAATTCAGAAGGAATAACACTGTTTTAAGGGGTTTGTGTAAAAAAGCACATATAAATAAAAAACTAGGGATGCCTGGGTGGCTCAGTCGGTTGAGCATCTGACTTCAGCTCAGGGCATGATCTCATGGTTCGTGGGTTTGAGCCCCGCGTCGGGCTCTGTGCTGACAGCTCAGAGTCTGGAGCCTGTTTCGGATTCTGTGTCTCCCTCTCTCTCTGACCCTCCCCTGCTCATCTGTCACTCTCTCTTTCTCAAGAATAAGTAAATAAAAATTTAACAACTAAATTAAACATTTCTACCAGGCACAACATGTTGTAATTTTTAGCGTAGAACTTCTTGGTATTTCATAAGGAAGCACAAAAAGGAAGGGAGATTATCATTCGGGCAGAGGGACAATAGTAACGTTCATTAATTGAGACAGAGTTCAAAACCAGGCTCCCCAAACTCTGGGATCTGTGTCACTAGAACTAAACAAGCCACCGGCTCTTTCCTCTCTCTTCTGTGGACTAGAGTGCTTTAAAAATGTGGTCCAGGGCCGCCTGGGTGGCTCAGTCAGTTAACTGTCCGACTTCAGCTCGGGTCATGATCTCGCAGTTCGTGAGTTCGAGCCCCACATCAGGCTCTGTGCTGACCGCTCAGAGCCTGGTGCCTGCTTTGGATTCTGTGTCCCTCTCTCTTTGCCCCTCCCCCACTCACACTCTGACTCTCTCTCTCTCTCTCAAAAATAAACATTAAAAAAATTTTTTTAAATATAAAGCAATAATGTGGGTCCAGTACAGTCTAAAATGTTTAATTTATAAGCTATAACCCAACGCTATGATATTTAAAAGCCTGCTTTACCTATCTTTATGAATCCTTAAAGTCCCAATGACTTGAGATAATTAGATTCCTTGTTCTTTAACGGCTTTCTATGTGACCTCCTAGCGGTTGGGCTTGATCTCAGGACAGGGGAGGGATATATTTGGATTCGGTACCCAGGACGGTCTCCCTAGTTTCCGGTGTGAAAAGAAGAAAGCTCTGCCCTTTCTCTGCCTCAGTTTTCTCCCCAGGATTATTTGTAATGTCTGCCTGGAAATGGAGAGCACTCATTTGTCTCTAGGATTGTGATTGGTGAATGAAGGGCCTTTATGACTGCAAAGTGCATTAACACCCTGTTCAGCAATTATGATGATTCTAAACGCAAGTAAGAACTAGGAAGGGATTTCAGCCCCGGCTCTGCAGAAGCGTAACACAAAGGTCATGCACCAAAGGTCACACCCATTAGTCATAAGAGCTTGGCCATCATTCTTAACAGGTTTGTGGTGTGGTGTGGTGTGGTGTGTGTGTGTGTGTGTGTGTGTGTGTGTGTGTGTGTGTGGTATGGAGAAAAAGAGAGAAATATACATGACCTGAAAGGTACCATTTTAACCACTTCTTGAAATGTGCAGTCCGTGGCATTAAGTACATTCACAGGGTGGTGCAGCCCTTCCCATCATCTATCTTCAGAACCATGTATCCCCAAACTGCAACTCTGTATCCATTAAACACAAAGCTCCCATTCCGTCACCTGCCCCTCCCATTCCCTCCCCCCTCCCTCGGCTCTCCCCCATCAGGCGCTGGTCACTGCTAGTTGCTGTCTCTAGAATTTGACGACCCTAGGTACCGATACAAGGGAATTACATAGTGTTTGTCCTTCTGTGTCTGGCTCATCTCACTTAACATCATGTTCTCAGGGTCCATCCAGGCTGGAGCACGTGTCAGAATTTCATTCCTTTTTAAGGCTAGATAACTCCCCACTCCCACTTTCTTATAAATACACATCCTCACAAGATGGGTTATCATTTTGTTTCCAGCCAGTAGGAATGGCACATACAGCCAGTTAGCACTGAGTGGGCCTCGGAGCCTCCAAATGGTTGGAGCAGTTACTCTAAGAGGCTGGCTGTAAGGAAGAAGATAACCGCGCTGTGCAACCCAGCCCGGGAACCACAGACACGGCCGTCCGCAGCTCCTCTGTACGGGGGGGGGGGGGGGGCAGGCGGTCAGGAAGATCTCAGCCGCCCTTGAACTTACCTCTGGGCTGTGGCTCGGGGCAGGCCCACTTGTTCCTAATGGTGCTACTGACTCATCAAGACAGCCTCACTTTCCATAGGGAGAGTTGAAGAGTTCAGGGGAAGCGGGTAGTCCGTTCCTGAAATGACTCCATTCCAAATGGTTAAAATGTTTTAGAAGTTTAGGCTTCAGTCATCTGAAAAATCCAGTTATATGAAATGACTCACTCCAAAATGTGGCAAAAGAGAGGAGGCACGGCCGCGGCGGTGTCACAAAGATTACCCAGGCTGAGCACCCTTCAGTGGCATCCGCTTACCTGGACGTCGCTTGCCTTGCACCTCGCTTGCTTTTTAGAGCGGAGAATCGAGAGGAGCTTGATTCAGGTTGATGCGGGGATTGGTACTGCTGGGCGAGTTGCTGCCCCGCCGCTGTGTCTACATGATCCTTGCTCTGCCCGAGTGACGTTGTTCGCATATTTAGCGTCTCTGGCCACCCCGCTGTGCGACTTGGAGGGGATCATGCACAGAGCCTCCTCGCAGTGCCTGAACCCTCAGCATCTCCCTCGTGACTTCGGTTTGGAAGTACTGGCCGGTGAAACGTGGTCATTGGTTCATTCACCATTCTCAGTGCCTTCGAAGTTTCCCCATGAGATCTCTGGCCTTGTGGAGAGCAGTCTCCCCGGGGAAGCAGACGCACAAACAGAAATATCACAGCCCAGTGCGTTTTTCCTGAGAAGGTCAAGGAGGGCTTCCCAGAGGAGGCGCCATTTGGCCTGAATCTGGAAGGATAAATAAGAGGCTGCCCTGTGGAGGGTGGGAAAGGTACGGTGTGCAAATAAACAGAGTTAACAGGAAGGGTCTGATGAGCTCAGGGATGGTACAAAAATCAGCATGAGCAGAATAGAGGGCTTGTGGGGGTCGGAAGAAGGAGAGGAGGCTGGAGGAGTAGCTGAAGTTCATTCACTAAAGCCTGCGTGTCTCCCCACTCCCCACCCCCCCGAGGAATTGGATTTGATCTTTTGTGCAGCGGAGAGCCAGTGAAGGTTTCTAGCAGGATCGTGAGTTTTGGGGGTGGTGGAGGGGGCAGGAGGGGGGCCAGGTGGGAAGATGCGGCAGGTGCCCTTCCTGGGAAGGGGCTGAGCACCTGCCCCTGCTTCCCCCTGGGATGGGACAACCGCAACAGATGTTTCAAAGGTAGGATCTGAGAATATGGATGCAATTTGACCGCCACTGAATACTCAGTGCTTAGCGCAGGGCAGTCACAAAGTAGGCGCCCGGTAAACTGAACTGAACAAATGCACCGTCAGCTGTGTGATGTTACAGGCAGCGCTGGCAGCGTTAGGGGGACAGCCCGGCCATAGCACGACGAAGCACCTGTTTGCAGGGTGTCTACTCCATGCCGGATACTTTCTGAATCCTACCTGCATTAATGTGTTTCTTTCTTAGGACAGTCCAGAGAGAGCGGTGCGGTTTTATCTTTGTAGATGAGAGCAGGGGCTTGGAGAGGCGGCCCGCTCTGCTCCTTCTGTGGTTGAGCTGGGATTTGAACTCAGGCATCCGCAGAGCACTCGTGCCCTTCACCACAGCGCTGTGGCCTCTCCTTTTCTGGAGTTCCCTGGAAGCTGCTTGTGCCAAGGCCCCAGGAGTGATGAGTGGGCAAACATAAGCAGCGGCAGGATGCAGAGAAGCCTGTTGAGGAAGCCATTTATCTCCCGTAGGCATACCATCTGAGATGACCTTAGTAGAAATAACAATGCAATAATAACAGCCCCACAGTCGTTTCCCTGGCATAAGAATCCAGCTTTGTAATGAAAATGGAATTTCTCTGGGAAATAGTCCTAGAAAGAGATAGGCGGCGGAGATAAAATAACAAAACGTAAACGTGGACCAAACTGTTTGCTGTGCGTTTTCCCCATGCACGTTTGCCCTCTCTGTTGTGTCATTTGCTTTGCTCGCCGGCTGCCTGCAGATCTGTGGCCCCCTGCCCCCCCACCCATGTTCCCCTGTCCCCCATCCCTCCCCGCCCTCCCCGACCCAAAGGAAGAGAAAGGAGGCCCTGCATCTAGAGGCAGTCGCACCCCACCTTGAGTTTACCCTCAACATACCTGGTGAAAAGGGGAGAGGTCCTCTGGGGTAAAGTCTGCTTTTGGGATGGAAGCCTGTGGCTTTCTGGAATGAGGGGTGGTGAGTTTGGTTTCCCAGGGGGCCCACAGGCCGGAATCTGAGCTCGTCGGTGTTCAGGTGTGCGCGCTGTCACGGATCATTACAACCCCAGCTGAAGCTGAGGTTTTCGTGCCGCAGGTCAGAGTCCTATAAAATAAACTCTTGTCATAACAAAGGGTGCAGCGGCCAGATTACATCTCAGAGTTCCTTCACTTTTACCCCAGAGGACACCGACTTGCACGGCGGGCGGGGAAGGGGTTCTGTCTTTCCGCTGATTCTAACCGGGGGTCTATCTCACTCTACCACCCTTGTAAATGGTGATCAACAGGGGTGGCCACAGCCGCGTGGAGAGAGTGTGGCCTGGGCGCCCCGCCAAGCTCTCTTGGCTCCAGTTTTATGCAGATTTGCTGAACAGAACGCAAATGATTTCACAGTAATACGGGACCCAGGGGTGGGTGCTCACCTGTTTTCAGCGGTGTCCCTGAGCTTTTGGCAACAAGCCTCTGTGGCGGAACGGACAGGTCTGCAGTGATGCAGGTCAAAACGTGGCTGGGGAGAGAAAGGCTCCCACTGTGAGTAGAGACCTCCCCTGGGGTTTCCCCACGAGCAGTCTCCCTTTGGCATCCTGCAAGCCAGGACTTCTGGGTTTCAAGAACAGGAAAAGGTCAACACAGACTAATGCTTTTTAAAGTCCTTTATTTCTCCTCTCTCTCTCTCTCTCTTTTGTTAAATGTTTGTTTATTTTTGAGAGACAGAGCAACAGAGCATGAGCAGGGGAGGGGCAGAGAGAGAGGGAGACACAGAATCCGAAGCAGACTCCAGGCTCCGAGCGGTCAGCACAGAGCCCGTCGCGGGGCTCGAACCCACAAACCATGAGATCGTGACCTGCACCGAAGTCACACACTCAACCGACTGAGCCACCCAGATGCCCCTTTTATTCTTCCTCTTATCCCAAAGATGTTCTGTGATCACAGTAGATGTCTAGGACACTTAGGCATCTCACACATATTGATTTTGGTGTTTGCTTGCTACAAGGCAGCGTGTTGGGCATCGAAAAAGGCTCGTGTGCAACCATGAAAGCATGAGACCGTAACGTTGTGTCTAAAATCTCCTTCACTGGCCACTGTGGTAGCCACTGGGCATGTGACATGTGGCTGGTCTGAAGGGAGATGTGATTGGAACATTAAAATACACCCCAGATTTCAAAGACTTAAAAAAGATGAGTGCAAGAAAGACTTTATTAGTAATTTTTATGTTAATTGCATGTTGACATGATAATATTTTGGATATAAAAATGTCTTAAATATCTTAAATGCGACCACTAGAAAACTTAAAATTACATATGTGGCTCATATTATATTTCTATTGGACAGCACTGGTCCAGACTGCTAACCATTTATTCCACAGTGTGGTCACCTTTTAACTCCCGTCTTTGGTTACTATTACATAGGAGGGTAGGAAGCGCTTTCTTTTTGCACGGATGGGTGTAGTTTAGACAGTTTTGTGGCACTCTGTGTGACTTTTACCAAGTGCATTCACATCCATGGTCTTCTTGAGCCTACTCTTGGTCCACACAGGGAGGGCCTGGCTACACTTCTAGAGCTGAGGATGTTGAGGTGTAAAAGGGGGCTTGCCCCCCTGCATGGAGTTAGAAATCAGAGTACAACATCAGACTTTCGACTTCTAGTCCACTGCTTGTTAGAGATAAGCTAGAATTTACCCGTGGAGATACTTACTTGTGTTTCTGTACCAAAGATAATAGAACACGGTCCTATTTAGAAGTAAATATGTCTGTGTTTGTGTGTGTGAGAATACACAAGCATGTCCTGAGACTAATGTGGCACGTTAATCGAAGGTCGTAGCCAATGTTCAGTGGAAAGATTGGCTCATGCTGAATTTTTGGAGCCATGAGGTGAAGGTTAGGGGAGGGATCGTGCATGTTGTCACGAAAGGGGGTGTTTTCTTCTGTTGGAGGTCCGCATTGTCATGTCAGATTCCTGGCAGCGCACAACAGGCCAGTGGCTCTCACCTGTCTGAAAGGTGTGAGACCGAGTTTGGTCATCCATGGGATGGAATGACCAAGAAGGTACCCCGCTCCAAAGAGGCAAGGGGTCAGATCCTGGGAGCCATGTTTGAGTTATTTTACCCCTAGCACGTGGAACACCAGATGGGTTTTCCTCACACCAACAACCAATTCTCCGAATCTCTGGACATCAGCTAGGTGACTTACAACTTAATTCCATTTTGACACTAACTACCTAGCGTTAGCATCAGATTCCTCAGAGCAGCCCCACTTTAGACACCAGTTGAATGCCTGGGCCACCCATACTTCTGACCAACTGGTCACCTTCCTCACGTTTGATAATTTATTAGAACAGTTCCTGCGACTCAGGGATGCACTTAACTTATTAGTCTGACTGGTTTGTTATAAAGGATGCACCTCAGGAAGGATACACATATGGAAGACATGCACAGGGCAAGGGATGGGGAAAGGGCTGTGGAGCTTCATGCCCTCTCTAGCTGTTCATCGACCTGGAAGCTCCCAGAACCCCGTAGTTAAGGGGTTTTAATGGAGGTTCCATTACATAGGCACGATTGATTAGATCTTTGGCCCTTGGTGATTGACTCAACCTCCACAAAAGGTTGGGGGAGGGGCTGAAAGCTCCATCCCCCTGTAATCAAGCCTTGGACCTTCTGGTGACAGGCTTCCCACCATCCTGAAGAGATCTAAGCCCCTGGCCACTAGACATCTAATTAGCATACAAAAAACATGCATCCCAGGAGATCCCGAGGGTCTTAGAAGCTCTTGTGTCCGGAAATGGGGACTCAGGCCTAGTATCATAACAAAAGATACTGCTATCACCCTGGTCATTCAGGAAATTCCTAGAGTTCTAGGAGCTCTGTGCCAGGAACCAGAGGTGAAGACCGAATATATACTTCTTATTATATCACAAGATCAGACACTCAGTACAGACAAAGGCTGAGGGGAGGTACACGTCTAGGAAAGAAGAAGCCATCAAGGCCAAGAAAAGGTGGCCAATATGGCAGGTAGGATTATTGCAGTACTGAGGGCCAGGGACCAGGGGCCGTGGGTTAAGTCCTGGGCCTCGCAGCAACCTGCTGTTTGGGCATGCTGCATACTTCGCTGAGCTTCTCCTTTTCCATCTGCAAACGAGAGGGTTGGATTAAAGGATCTCACACTAAAATGTTGTGAGTCTATGAACTTTGAAGGCCAGAATCAACTAAAATAGTATTAGTATGCAATCAGTGATAGCTTAGGGGTTTGGTTTTATGGCCGTTATTTCCTTTGTCTAATATACTTGGGGGCCCTGCGATCCATGGTGAATACTGTCACTGGCTTGGACCATTCATTGGGCCCCAAATGAGACAGGGTTTGGGTCGAAGACTACCTTGTAGCTGCAGCCAGTACACAGGTGTGATAGTGTAATATCTAAAAACATTGATACTTATTTGTCTTTCTTGGCTCTCGTTATCCCTATCTTTTCTGCGAATTATCTTTATTTCTTCTGCTATCTCATAAGTCTGCTGTGGTGTGGGTAGGAACTCTCCCCACGTGGATCACAGGCTTTAGTAAATCACTGCTTCTTCTCGGTCTACACCATTCCTGCTGCCTTCTACCTCACGTGAATTAAAAGGCTCCTGGGCTAGCCCGGAAGATATAAGAATTTCACTCCTTTTTTTTTTTTCAAAGCCTTTTCAAAGGCTAGATTTTAATTGCTTTTTGGAGGGAAGGGGAGACAGAAGCCCTTGGATCTTGAGGTAGCCTTGTGTTTTGTAGAGAATCACTCCAGGAGCACATTCCCCCACTCAGGGTTCCAGCCACCTCTTCCGCCTCATTATACTTCGCCGAGCGCTGAGAAGTCTGGCGTCGTTTCTGGAGGAATGAAAAGATTGGCAGAGCGGCCCTAGACAGCAGCACCACAGAACACTGTGGCAGAAGGTTTGGTCTACATACCAAGGCAGCCAGGGTATTAATTGCATTCTCTGTGATCACAAAAAAAAAAAAAAAAAAAAAAAGGCGCTGAATTATTCTCTTCATGTTTTAAGAATGACAGCTTTTGCTCCGCCAGCTCTACGTGCACTGGTATCATGGCAAGGAGATGTTAGATTTGAAATAAAAAAAAGTGTAGACGTGAAGGGCTCTGGTAGGCAGCTAGTTCTTAAAAGGGATGTGAAGGTGAGTCGTTTCACGACAGGTACCTGGAGAAGTTGGGGAGCAGGGCGAGGAAGCGTTCCTGTACCTTCGCACAATCTCTTCTAGTTTCCCGTTTGGACATCTTGCTTTAACTTTCGAAGTGGGAAAATAACCACATGAATAAAGAAGTAAGATACATTTTGGAATGTGACCTTTGAAGTTGCCTGGTATCGTTCGTCTTTATTTTTGTGTGTGAATTAGTGGAAAAGTGGTCACGATG